ATATATATATATATATATATATATTGTTATATAATATTTATATTTTTAAGAATGTTTTAATCTACAATAATAAACGGGCGTGTTTCTAGGTCTATATGTGTGTGTGTGACCGCCATAACTCCAAGAGGAAAAGAACCTAGAAACTTGAAATTTTGTACACATATTAAGTGGACCCTGAGAGTGTGCACCTCGGTATTATTACTTATCCGCGTGCGCGCGTGCATCACTTTATGAGGCAAGGTAGGGAACCACATAGAAAAGAATATGTGACTCCCATATTTCCAAGTGGAAAGAGCCTAGAAACATAAAATTTTGCACCCATACTGAGTTGACCCTGAGGTGTGCACCTGATAATTATTACTTACCTTCGTGCGTGCGCATCTCTTTAATGAGGCAAGCTAGCGCAAAACCACATAGAAAAGAAGTATGACCACCATAGCACAAAGGGGAAAGAACCTAGACACCTGGAATTTTGCACCCATACTGAGGGTATGCACATGGATATTACTTATCTTATCCACGTATGCATGTGAGCTTCTTTTTTAATGAGGCAACTTAGTGAAAAACAACAAAACTCCAAGGGAGAAAAACCTAGACACCTGAAATTTTGCAGCCATACTAAATGTGTGTACCTGGGTATTCGTTATCTTATCCACGTGGGTGCACGCGTGCACACCTTTTTAATGAGGCAAACTAGCGAAAGATCACATAGAAAAGAAGTGTGACCACCATATCTCCAAGAAGAAAGATCCTAGAAACCCGAAATTTTGCACCCATACTAAGTGGAACCTGAGGGTGTGCATCTGGGTGTTGTTACTTATCCATCTGCGTGCGCGCAAGTTAGCTAAAAACCACATAGAAAAGAATTGGTTCCTTATATTACAAATAGAAATCTCAGACAGATACGTACATGTGTGCATGCGCACGTGCGTGTATGTGTGACAGCCATAGCTCCAAGAGAAAAGAACCTAGAAGCATGAAATTTCGCGCCCAAAATAATTGAACCCTGAAGGTTTGCACCTGGTTATTATTAATTATGTACTTGCGTACACATCTTTTTATGCGAAAAATCACATAGAAAATAATGTGACTGTCATAGCTCCAAGAGGAAAGAACCAAGAAACCTGAAATTTTGTACCCATACTATGTGGCCTCTGAGGGTATTATTACTTGTGTTATTCATGGGCGTGTGCGCATGCGCATCTTTTCAACGAGGCAATCTAGCGAAAAAACAATGTAACAACTTCTAATATATAGAAAAGCCAGTGCATTTTGGTAACAATGTGTCCAAACGTTGGCGTTTATATCATGTTGCTAAGCAATAAAAGTGTAACCTAAAGTTGTTGTTAAGAGGCTATGTGCTGAAAGTATAAAACGAAATGTATAAACTACAAAATTTTTAAAAATATATTTATTGTTTTCTAATTTAGAAGCTCCGTTAATTAAAGAGACTTGTTTTTTTATTATTTGTTTTTATTATTTAAGTTTAAAATCGGAGTATTATGTAAAACGTGTATTATGTAATTTTATATCTGTTAATAATACTTAAATGTGGATTTTTATTAATAGATTATATAAACAACCATTTCTTGTCAGGCAACAGAGATAATGATACTATAGGATGGCGCGCCAACTCACATAGACTGGGCATTATGGTGATCTACCAAGAAAAGGAAAAGGCAGCTTACAATGTCAAGATAATGTTTGAGAAAAGATAAACGAATGAATATAAAACCCTTGTTAGAAATATAGTAAACTATATAGTGAACTAGGCAAACATCCTTATCAAGCAATATTCATAGGCCTGATGGTTAGGGCGCTCGAGTCGCGGGTTCGAATTCCTGTCACCGATCATGCACGCTCTTTCAGCCGTCGGGTCGTAATAATGTTGCGGTCAATCCCACTATTCGCTGGTAAAGATTAGCCCGAGAGTTGGCGGTGGGTGGGGTTGACTATCTGCCTTCCCTATAATCCATCACTGCTAAATTAAGAACGGCTAACGCAGATAGCTCTCGAATAGTTTTGCGCGAAATTCAAAACAAACAAACAAACGCTTGGCACAAAAGTTGTTGCGATGTGTTCAAAAACTCCTTCTAAAAAACGAAATTTAGATTAACAAGAGGATATTATAACTCAGACGGTGATGCAGTTGATAAATGATGCCAAAAGTTCTCCTTCGAAGTGTGCATTCTGATGCTGGCGCCCTCTGCATTATAAATATAAACAAAATGAAGCTAGAAGAATTGTGGGTAGCTTATAGAACTGAAAAATACTTTCATTATTTGCCGATTCATGATATGAAATCAGCTGTTGGTGATCCTGATAAAAATGATTCTCTATTTTTTATGTTTTTACTGGTTGAGATACCGTATGGACAACTGGAAGGGGATGAAAGTTCACAGGCAAGAACACCATGCAGTTGTATCCACAAGAGACAGAGATTTTCACTGAAATAAGCAAGTACCCAGTGCGTTGATGTATGACAAGACTAGCGAGCACATGGAGGGAGTTGTTTGCGCATAAAGTGTGTGTCATAGAAAATATCCCTCTTATAGAGGGTTTCTTTGGTAAATATATCAGGCGATCTGTGTACAGGGCTAGGTGCTATCACCAAATCTATACGTACGAAACCCCAGTAAATGGGGTGGAGTGGGAAAATGTAACACAATTTAGGGGTGTCTGTGGACCATACTTTGCGAAGCATCAAAGACCTGCCTAGAAATAATTCGCTGTCGGTGCAGAAAATACTTTAAACTATCCTATTGTGGCTGTAAGAAAATGCCACTGAAGTGAACAGAATTATGCTATAGTGCTGGACAGCGTACTTCATGAGAAGAAATCGCTCATAGAAGATAAGAGAATGCAAT